GTAGTAGTAGTAGTAGTAGTAGTAGTAGTAGTAGTAGTAGTAGTAGTAGTAGTAGCAGTAGTAGTAGTAGTAGTAGTAGTAGTAGTAGTAGTTAGTAGTAGTAGTAGTAGTAGTAGTAGTAGTAGTAGTAGTAGTAGTAGTAGTAGTAGTAGTAGTAGTAGTAGTAGTAGTAGTAGTAGTAGTAGTAGTAGTAGTAGTAGTAGTAGTAGTAGTAGTAGTAGTAGTAGTAGTATTAGTAGTAGTAGTAGTAGTAGTAGTAGTAGTAGTAGTAGTAGTAGTAGTAGTAGTAGTAGTAGTACTAGTACAGTAGTAGTAGTAGTAGCTAGTACTAGTAGCAGTAGTAGTAATAGCACTACCAGTAGCAGTGGCACTCGCAGTAACAGTAGCAATAGCAGTAGCCGTCGTAGTAGAATTAGTAGTGGTAGTAGTAGTAGTAGTAGTAGTAGTAGTAGTAGTAGTAGTAGTAGTAGTAGTAGTAGTAGTAGTAGTAGTAGTAGTAGTAGTAGTAGTAGTAGTAGTAGTAGTAGTAGTAGTAGTAGTAGTAGTAGTAGTAGTAGTAGTAGTAGTAGTAGTCGTAGTAGTAGTAGTAGTAGTAGTAGTAGTAGTAGTAGTAGTAGTAGTAGTAGTAGTAGTAGTAGTAGTAGTAGTAGTAGTAGTAGTAGTAGTAGTAGTAGTAGTAGTAGTAGTAGTAGTAGTAGTAGTAGTAGTAGTAGTAGTAGTAGTAGTAGCAGTAGCAGTAGCGGTAGAAGTATGAGTAGTTGTTGTTGTTGTAGTAGGAGTCGTGGTGGTAGCGGTGGGAGTAGCGGTAGAAGTCGTAGTCGTTGTCGTTGTCGCAGTGCTTGGGGATATACTAGGGCCTTCTTGGCGATATGTGGAGACATCTTGGGGATATGCTAGGGCCTTCTGGGCGATATGTTGGAGGTCTCGGAGCCTTTTGCGGGCTCTCCCGGGGCGCTCTTAGGGCCCTCTTCGGGCTCTTTGGGAGGGGTCTGGGAGGCATCTTGGGGCCATCTTTCGGGCGATCGATCACAGATGGGGCGAGCATTTTTCTCCCCCCCCCCGTCGGGGCCACGATCCTCGTGAGGGGTGTCGAATTTTAGCCCTCCCAGGAGTCGAAAAAGACCCCTCCGACCACCCGCGGAAGGACCTCTCCAGGCCCAGGGGGAGGGGGTAGGGGGAGGGGTAAACCCCTCCCCGAAGGGGAAGAAGGGGGTTGAGAACAGAGCGGGCTCTCTAAACCACTCACGCCCAAAGGGCTGGTGGGATTACACCCATGCCTTTGCTTTGCCTTTGCTTTGCTGCTATGACATGCTCTGCTCTGCTATGCTATGCTATGCTGCGCTGTGCTATGCTGTGCTGTGCTGTGTTGCGTTATGCTATGCTATGCTATGATATGCAATACTGCGCTATGCTATGCGATGTTGGGCTATGCTATGGTATGCTGTGCTGCGCTATGCTATGCTACGCTATGCTATGCTATGCTGTGCTCTGCTATGTTAAAGCTCAGCGAAGCCAAGATGAAGGTAAGCTAAGCTAAGATAAGCCTGAGCTACTTGAAGCTAAGCTAAGCTAAGATGAAATAAGCTAAGCTAAGATGAGATAAGCAACGCTAAGCTAAGGGGACGTGGCTGGGGGAACCGCGGGGCGGATACTGGGGGAACCGCCCGGGGCGCTTTGCACTGCCCGGCCCCTTTAAGAAAGAGAGTAAGAACCCTCTAGGCAGAGCCTAGGTAGGGAATTACGAATATTGATAAGACGAATAATCATAATACTATGACTACTACGCATAATAAGAAGACGACTTATAATTAAAAGAAGAGAAGAATGCTACTAATACTAATGATGATAATTATATTAATACTAAATCTAATAAGAGGAGGATGAGGGGAAGGAGGGGAGGAGGAAGAGGAAGAGGAGGAGGAGGAGGAGGAGGAGGAGGAGGAGGAGGAGGAGGAGGAGGAGGAGGAGGAGGAGGGGTGGTGACAGGAGGAATTATGTATTGCGCTCGCCGTATTTGTCCGATATATCCCGCATCCATTTTTAAGTTGACCGGGTATAGACCCAGATCGGCCCAACAGGGCCCCAAGAGAGCGTAACAAGGCCCCAACAGGATCTTGGGGAGGCAGCAGAAACGGATTTCCTTCATGAGTTCGTGAGTTTTTTTGATTCTCACCTTTTCGGGCTTCCGACGGCCCAAGACGGCCCGAGAGGCCCCCAAGATCGTCCCAAGATCGCCCAAGGTCCCCAAGAGGACCCCAAGGCGCTCCAAGAGGCCCCCAGAACAGCCCCAGAGGGCACCAAGACGGCCCAAGAGGGCGCTTAGAGGCTCTCAAGAGAGCCCCAAGTGGGCCCCATGAGGCTCCCAATAGGGCCCCAAGAGGTCCCAAGGAAAGCTTCAAGACGGCCACAGTCCTCCACGCCGCCTCAAAACGGCTCAAAAGGACCCAAGGACTGCCCAAGAGGGCCCAAAGAGGGCCCAACAGGGCCCCAACAGGACCCCCAAGAAGGCCCAGAGACGCCAAGCTTGCAACACCAGGGCTCCCCAGAGCGAGCGGGGACGTAAACAACTTTCAACACCAGGACTTCCCAGAGCGAGCGGTGTCGTAACAGCTCTGATGACCAAGGCTCCCCAAAGCCCATAGTGGCGTGACAAGCTCTTCACACCAAGGCTCCCCAGAGCGAACTGTGACGTTACGAGCTCTGAAAACCGAGGCTCCCAAGAGCCAGCGGTGCCGTAAAAAGGTCTGAACACCAAGGCTCCCAAGAGCCCATCTTGACGTGGCAATCTCTTACACCAAGGCTTCCAGGAGCGAACGGTGACGTTACAAGCTCCGAACTCCAAGGCTCTCAAGAGCTCATGTTGACGTGACAAGCTCTTAGCACCAAAGCTCCCAAGGGCGAGCGGTAACGTCAGCATCCCTGAACACGAATGCTCCCAATAGCGAGTGGTGACGCAAGCAACTCTTAACACCAACGCTCCCAAGAGCGCACGGTGCCACGAGCATCTCGGGCAAGTTTCTGATGCGTTCTTTCCGTTACCGTGCCGGCCCAGGTAACGGAAAGAGCGAGGTATGAGTGATGACATTCTGGTGGGACGAAGCCCTCTAGGGAGGGGTCCAGGGAAGTGGCCTAGCGCGCGCTAAACGGTCTAGTAGCCAGGCCCCTCACCTCCCACAGCCCAAGAGGCGCCCAAGACGTCCCAAGAAGCGCCAAAGACGGCCCCAAAGGGGTCCAAGAGGACTCCAAGACGGCCCAACGCGCCCCAAGAAAGCTCAGGACCGCCTAACAGCGTTCCAAGATGGCTTCAGATGGCCTCAGGCAGCGCCCAGACCCCTCCCATAGCATAACTCGACAACAGAAGTGTTATCAAATTGTTCCTTTGGGTCTGATCCCTCCTCCCTCCTCCCTCCTCCATCTCGGAGCTCAGAGTTTCATTGGTGTCTCAGGCGAAACGGGCTGGACCACCTCGCGCGCAGCATTTCAGAGTCCCATATTGCGAGGATGTCTCAAGCGAAACGGGCCAGACGCCAGACCACTTCGCGTACATCTTCTCAGAGCCCAGAGTTGCGAGAACGTTACAGGCGAAACGAGCTGGACCACCTTGCGTACATCTTCTCAGAGCCCAGAGTTGCGAGGACGTCTCAGGCGAAACGGACCAGACCGCCTCGCGCGCGCGGCATCTCGGAGCCTGGAGTTGCGAGGATGAAATGGGCCAGACCCTCTCTCGCGCGGCATCTCGGGGCCCCGAATTACGAGGATGTTTCAGGCGAAATGGGCTGGACCACCTCGTGCACGGTGCCTCGGAGGTCAGAGTTGGGAGGATTTTTACGCGAAACGTGCTGGACCACCTCGCGCACGGCATCTCGGAGTGCAGAGTTGCGAGGCTGTCTCGGGCGAAACGTGCTGGACCACCTCGCGCGCGGCATCTCGGAGTGGAGAGTTGCGAGGCTGTCTCAGGCGAAACGCGCTTGACCACCTCGCGCGCGGCATCTCGGAGTGCAGAGTTGCGAGGCTGTCTCAGGCGAAACGCGCTGGACCACCTCGCGCGCGGCATCTCGGAGTGCAGAGTTGCGAGGCTGTCTCAGTCGAAACGCGCTGGACCGCCTCGCGCGCGACATCTCGGAGTCCAGAGTTGCGAGGCTGTCTCAGGTGAAACGCGCTGGACCACCTCGCGTGCGGCATCTCGGAGCTCAGAGTTTCGAGGATGTCTCGTGCGAGACGGGCCAGACCATCCCGTGCACATCCTCTCGGAACCCCGAGGTGTGAGGATGTCTCGGGCGAAACGCGCCGGACCACCTCACGAAGCCCAGAGCTGCGAGGATGTCTCGGACGGAACGCGCTGGACCATCTTTCGCGCGGCATCTCGGAGCCAAGAATTGAGGATGTCTCAGGCGAAACGGGCCAGACCACCTCTCGTGCGGCTTCTCGGAGCTCAGACTTCCGAGGATGTCCCAGGCGAAACGGCCTCGCGCGCAGCATCTGGGACCTCAGAGTTGCGAGGATGTCTCAGGCGAAACGTGAACTTGCTGGACCACCTCTCGCGCGGAATCTCGGAGCATAGATATGTGAGGATGTCTCTGGCGAAACGCCCAATTCTCTTTCAATTCTGGCCAACTCGGAAACGAGAGTTGTGACGATGTCTCAGGCGAAATGGCCAGGACCATTTCATGTTTTTGAGGATGTCTCGCTTCGCGCACTCCCGTCTGGAACTAGCTTCTGCCTCAACAGCACCCCGTTCAGCAAACTGTTTGCGGGAAAGACAGATATATTTCCAGAGGGGGAATCGAACATATTGTTTGGCCGACACGAGAGTTCAAGAATTTGGAGTTCATTTTCATCCTCGCACCTAGGGATGGTGTAAGATCGTTCGGCCCCCTCACTCTGACTACAACCCTTCCCTCGTCCCCACGGCGGGTTTCGCCTCGAAGTCTTGGTCAGAACGCACCCGAGGAGAGCTCCCGGGAGCAGCGGGGTCAGCATCTTTGTGCTCCCCCCCCGAGGTTCTCTACATGATCGACCTCCTGGACGAGATTTGCTGCTGGAGCATCGTCGACTTCGACGGCCACGACCTCGTGGACATCAGCAGCACGGGGCTGGCCCTGGGCAGGACGGCCGACGAGAGTTCCAGGCTTGAGGATCTCAAACAGAGGTACGAGGGGCTGGCCGCGTGGCTCAAGAATCAGCTGGGCGAGCGCGTGCGCAGTGTCGAGGTCGGCGACCGCTTGGTGGACTCCGCGGCCACGCTCGTCCACCCTCGGTCCGGGATGTCGCCAATAATGCAGCGCTACGTGAAGTCACAGACCGACTCCAGATCTCAGGATGCCGCCTTCGCCATGGGCTGCCGGATCCAGGCCATCCCAGTCATAGACGAATTGATGAAGCGATTCAAGAGGCTTAAGCTATTTCTCCCACCCGCCGAAGAGACAGGTATATATATATATATATATATATATATATATATATAGATAGATAGATAGATAGATAGATAGATAGAGAGAGAGAGAGAGAGAGAGAGAGAGAGAGAGAGAGAGAGAGAGAAAACGAGAACGAGAGAGAGAGAGAGAGAAAGAGAGCTTGCAACGTTTGGGGAGGGTATCTCGAGCAGGAGGGCCCCTGGGCATGGGAATCGCGCAATGAGGGCGAGATGGGGACAAGAGACAGGGGGGAAATGAGGAGGAGGAGGAGGAGGCAGCCGATGACAATGCTGGTGGATACTTCATGAGACGCGAAAGAGGGAGGACAATGCGGACGAGTAGGCAAACGATGGGGATGTGCAGTGGCTTTTGGGGAAAACGCTTCTGGGGCGTTGCGAGGGCAGTGTGGGGGCGCTCGGGGACCTTGTTTCGGCTCCCTGATGATGTTCTCGGGCATCTTCTTCGCGTCGTAGACGTTGTATAGAGGTTTTCGGGCACGTCTTGGGGCCAGAGGATCGATTTGTGAATTGGAGTTCTCTCTCTCCTTGGTTTTTCTTTTTGGCTCTCCGGGGGGCGCTTCGGGGGCTCTCTTCAGCGCCATCGAAGGCGCTTGCTGGGGCTTCCGTGCCGATGCCGTCGCTGGCGGCGCTTCGGGGCGGCTGGTCGCGGTGCATCCACAGCCCTGCGTTGTGGGTACGTCTCTGAAGCCTGCCCGGGTCAGCTGGGTACTCGCTGGTCGTTGAAAGTATGTATTTTTGGACTCCCGGATCCCAATTTTTTTCAAGCGCCTTCATGCTTCAAGAATCGGCATGCTTTTGCTGTGTGTTGTTGTTATTTGGGAGGACCTGGACCCAATCCACTGTATCTGCCTTCCTACTCCATGTTTCTACCTATTTCTTCCGACCGACGTGTACCCTCTGATGGAGATGGCGGGCCGGCGGGACGAGAACGGCACGGGGATGGCGACGAGGGAGGGGGGAAAACGAAGGGGGGACGTGTCCTGGGCACGCGAGGCCGTCCATGGCCAGCGGGGGTCCTCTTTTGAGCACGCGTGGCGTCATTCAGTGGCCTTCGGTGCGTTCCATTTCTGTGCCCTGGTTCTGCGCGAGAGGCTTCTAGACTTCCACTTTCGAGCCTCTTGGGAAGTTGTTTTGGGCCTTTTGGGGTCTCCTCGAGGTGTCTCGTGCGCCTGCTGGCAGTCTCGGGGATCCTCTTAGGCCAGAGAGTACGGGCGTGCCAGTTGCCCTTCTTAGGCCGCTTGTACGGGCGTTTCTTGGGGACTCGTCGGTACTGTTTTGTTGGGGACAGTTTGGGAACCTCCAGGAACCTCTGTTGGGCCACTCGGGGGCCTCGTGGTGCCGTTCGGATTTTTCCTGGGCGCCTCTTGAGGCGGGGGGCTCGACATGTCATGTCAGTTCGAGTTGCCCCTCCTGGGGCCCCTCTTGGGGCTCTGCTGAGGCCCTTCGGGGCCGTCTTGAGCGTCTCTTGGGCCGTCTTGGGACACTCTTCGAACGTCTTGGGGCCCTCTCGTGGGCTTCTAGGGCTTGGAGCTACGTTTGGGTCCTAGGGAGCCGTCTTGGACGTTGCGAAGACCAAAAAGGCGAATCTGCTAAACACGTGGGTTTTCCTCAGGGTTTGGGGCAACTCATCTCTCTTGGGGCTCTCTTGGGAGTCCTCTTGGAGCCCTCTCGGGGCGTCTTGGGGTCTGGCGGCCATCTTGGTTGCTTTTGAACGTGTTGGAGCCCAGCTTGAGCCATATTAGATGGCATGTTGGGCATTTTGGATGCCACGGGGTGTTGATTTGGAGCCTCCCGAGGCTCCGGGGGTGCGTTGGCGAGCTCCTTTCCCCGCGATGGGGGGGGACCCCCATCCCGTCCTTAGATGGGATTTGGGGCTCCCAGGGAGGGGGAAAGGAGGAGGGGGAGAGCCAAATGTCGCACACGCCTTTCCACCCCCGTGAAGCCAGGGTCGGCGGACACGAACGAACTGAGGATGATAGGGCCATTCTGGAGATCAACCCGGAACATCGGGCAGTTCAGAAGCTGCTGGCAATGTGGCAGACCCACCCACAGTCCCAGGAGGTTGGCCACATGGCGGTCTTGCTGTGGCAGAGTGCGGCCGTTGCCTGTAGCTACAACATCGGGGACCCTGCCGGGTTTGCGATGCGCGTCGCCGACCTGATGGCGAGCACGAGCGCCTAAGGCAGGAAGATTTTTGGTCAAAGCGTGGCCTGTTCAGTGTACTTTACACGCGTGTGCAACTTACACGCACTTAGTAAGCATTGCGCTGGCCTGTATGCACCACCCTCTGCAGTTCTCCTCCTCCCCGCTACCCCTTTGCTTATCTGAAGACCTCCCCCTCCCCTGAACAGGCCGAGGGAACGGCTGCGAGGCGCTCCCAACAGTCTAAGGAGGCTGGGCAAAGGCGAGATGTATCGAGCGCGTGTCCGCGGCCATTTCGGCCCCGTGGCCGGCCACCTATTTGACTGTGCCTCTCTGAGGCGCACTGCCATACGTCGAGACCGAAGAGGCATCACCCTTTTCGCTTGAGATGTATCGCCGCTCCCGCGGCTCACTCCTACTTCTGGGACTATCGTTGATACGGTACAACAGGGTTTGACACATGCTTCGCCTTTGGCGAAACATCTGGTTGGGCCTCTCGACCAGCTTCGAACTTGGTAGCGGAGCTGGCCGTTGGTGGTGAGGTCTAGCTCCACTCCTCATTATCCACGGCACTATCTGGTGGACTGCCGGCATGGTGGAACATCAGGGTGAAGTGGTTCTACGTGGAGGAGTTCTATACCGTCGCAAGGACACTTGCACTGCGTCTTCCGTTCACGCAGAAGTCTTTTACCTTAACCTTACCTCCCTGCGCTATTACACTTCAATTTCCGCCCACATACGTCAAATTGCAATTTTCTTCGAATATACTAGGCGTGGTAACGTGCGATACGATATCGTGCCGCTTCCACCCCGACGCAAGTTGACGGCGACGTCACCTCATAAACAACAGCCGCGCATAACCCACTCTGACCCACGGGGCCACTGGATTGGCATCACCATCTTTGGCCTTCTATGGGTCGCCATCGGATGTGCTATTGGGCATATGCAGCGCGGTGGAGACGACGTACGCACTACCGGCCTCCACTGGGACCCTTCCGGTAATGCACCTTTCCGCGAGTTTGTTCGCGAGGTACATGCTTGGATCAACGTGGCCACAAACACTATGACCCCCTCCCAACAGGCCGCCGCACTACAGCGTGGCCTGGGCGGTCGCACAAGGACCGTAGCCATGAGAGTTCCCCCCGCAGTGATCAATTTTGGTGTCAACATTGGTGGTCGCGACACCGACGGCATCACCTACATCATGTTCCTCTGCAGCACTAAGGTTGAGAACCTGGAAGAGGAACGAAAACTTAACCCGGGGACGGCTCTCAATGATTTCCGCGTCCATGCGGGAAAGCGGATCGACCAGACATTGGTTGGCTTCGTGATAGCAAGCTTCGAAGCCGACGCCGCGGGGTTCAAGATCCTGACAGTCATGCTGCACAGCAACTGCTACAACCATTGAGCACCAAATGCCAAGGACACAGCAGCACGTCGAGGCCTTACTGGAGTGCATGAGGGCTCACGCCCAAATTGGTGAGCGAACCCCTGGCAACAATGGTGGTGTATATAGTCACGGCCACCGCGCTGATGTCTTTCATCGCGGCACTCATGCGGGGCAACCTGCCAGCGACGTCCGGAATGACGATCCACAACCAAACGAGGCCACCGTTCTATTAAGCCAACAGGGTGGCCAGCCCGCGGTGTCGCAAGCTTCCTGGGCTCGACTTCAGGGGCCGTCGGCAACTGCGGCCCCAGCCCAAGCCATTGCCCTCATGGGCCCGGCGGGGCAAGCCGCAGAGTCCGAATTTGATTTTGGCGCCGACTCTGGCGCCTCGTCAGATGAGGGAATTGGGAACTTGGATTATCCCGACATGCCCGTGCACGTCACTGAAGAGCAGCAGGCGCAGTGGATGTTCCTGGGGTACCAGGAGCACAAGCGCCGATGGAGACGTTTTATGAAAGGAACCAGTTCGAAGGGTGCGACGTGCAGCCCGACGGGTGTAGAGGTAAGGGTGAACGACGACGGTTACGTAGTAGAGGCAGGTTTGCATTCTTGGCTTCCCTCACGGGACCACAGTGCGAGGGCATCTTCCTGGGCGAAGGCAGAGGCCGTAGGCGCGCCTCAGGGAAAAGTAAGGGACGTGGGGGTAGCCCGAAGGATGCCAACGGGAAAACCAAAGAATGTGCTATCTGCCACAGCGCCCAGCATTTTCGTCGTGAGCGCCCCGCGGCCGATGGGAGAGGCAGGGGTCCGTCGATGCACGCGGCTCAAGCCAATTCTGACATTCACTATGTCGATTGGGAAACGCGCGCCAGAAGGCAACCCCGCAGCCGCTGTCCATTTCATGTCCGCTAGGTATATGGGCGCCAGCGTGTCCTTCGAGAGGTGCGCCGAGGAGCTTTTCGAGGAGGTCTATGCTGGCCACGATGGGATTGATCTCACAGGCTCGCTGGGCATTCTATCGCGGGGCAACCTGCGCGCGCAGAGATCGCCGAGGATTGCCGGCCGCCCGCCGACTCGGATCACGAGGTGGTGGGGGCACCTGCGCGCTCCGATGGTTGCGAGCCCGATATTTCTGATGATGGCACGATGCCCGCTACGGAGGAAGAGCTCCAACTGGCGCTCCGGCCGCAGGTGATTGGGAACCCTGCGTGCAGGGTATCTTGCGACGACGGCCCTCCGCGGGGTAACCCGCGCGACACTGGTGACCTTTATAAGCGGATCCAGTGCGGACTCGGGCGCAATGAAGGCTCTCGCTCCACCTTTGTGCTGCATGGGCGTTCGAGTCGCAAGGCTTGGGGGCGCGTGGAGCGTGCTGATGGCGATGGTGAGGGCTGGGGGGCCGAGGGCAATCCGCCATGCCATCGCTGGCGGAGTCATTCGCGCGCGTGCCCGCTCAAGTGGCACGCGGGGCTCGCCCGCGAGAGCCGAGAGGATCGCCGAGAAGGGAACGGTCGCGGGGCGACCCGCGCCGGGGCGACGAAGGCACAGGTGAGCCCGAAGGCCAGCGCCGATCCAGACTAGTTGGTGAACAGAACGACGGGTTTGCCCGCCAATGCGTACCAGGCGGCCACGTGAGGTACTGGCGGCAGCAGGGTAACACCGAGCATCGAATCCGCCACTACTGGTCATTGCAGAATGCGCAGCGGGATGAACGCGGGGGCATAATCTTCCGTTCCAACAGAAGAGGCGGCACCGAGACCGCTGAAATGTCGGAGAAGGAAGGCCGACAAAACAGCCATCAGTGCGGATCGGCAGGAGCGCCGAGAGAAGGTCTGTGGATTCGAGCATTTCGCAGAACACGGACCAAATTGCCCGATGGGGCGCCCCTCGAGGAGCCCCAACATCGAGAGGGCCCCATGGGTCTGGACCCATCGGGGCGGCGAAGGTCGCGAGGTGGGCCCGAGCTGCAACCCCAGCAACGCGCACCTGACCAAGTCGGACTGCAAGCCGCTAGATGCGCGACGCGTTCCAGGCAGCACTCGTCGAGGAGGACAGGGGCGACCTCGATGAGGATCACCGGCCTTAGCATTGCGATCGGGGATGCCGCGAGGCCCGCCGTGAAGGGCGAGCGGCCCCCCTGATGCCGCTTCCTTTCGCAAGGGTGCCAATGCGGACCAGGGCGCGCGGGATTGCCCGCCAGCTGCGGTTAATAAAAGAGGCGAGGCCTCTGGCCTCGCACAAGCTGTTGTCCCCGTTGTGCCTGCGTCTGCGTCTGTGTCTGAATGCGAACGCGAGTACTGCGCTGACGAAGACATTGATGCAGGAGTGGACGTCGACGCGCGCGCCCCGAAGGACACGGGCATGGGCAAGTGGTGACGCAGTGGCGTGCTAGAGCAGGAGCACTGGATGGGTCGCAACCTTGGTGCGAGGTAAGCTGCCCAACGGGAGATGCCATTTGGATTGCAAAAAAGAACGCCGAGGTCGAGAACGCGAGGCTTTACCGACCGGTGCGGAAGCCTCCGTCATGCAGTTTCTCGCGCAGGAGCGCAGGGAAACTGCTGCGCCCGCTTGTGCGGGGTAACCCGCTAAGAAAGCAGGCGAGCCCCCGAAGCCCCCGACGTGTTCTCAGAAGGAAGTAGATCTATCTCCATCTTCAAGCGCGCCGAAGCCACCTAGGTCGAAGAAGCGAACCGGCTCGGCAGAGGCCGACCCTGGGAGAAACGAGGCGAAGCGATCTGACGGAGAGCCCTCGGGGGAACCTGCCCGTAGACCACCTTCCAGGGGGCCAGTTGTGGCAGCCGCGGCGGCGGCGCTCCTGGGCAGCAGCGGGCCCGGGCCGAAGGTGCCCGTTGCGCTGCGCGGCGCCGCTCATGGCAGGGTTCATCGCGGAGCTGGCTGGCCACCTTGATTGGGCGGTCCAACAATGCATCGCGCCTCGCAGCCTGGCGCGGGAAGGACATCACTCCAGACTACATCCAGGGCGCCGGGGACTCCGAAGGTGAGCAGGTGCCAGTTCGCGGACATCCGCGAGAAGGAGAATGACCCGTCTGGAAGTGGAGGGTCATCCGCAGAGCCCACTGCTGCGTCGGCTTCTGCGGGGGCACCCGCTGCATCTGCATCTGCGGGGCAACCTGCCAATGCGCCTGAAATCGACGAGGGGGGCAGGCGGAACTGGGAAAGACTTGGCATCCCACGACAGATTCCAGTTAACCCGTCGTAGAATGATTCTGCCGACGACGTTTCGAGCCGGTGCAGAGCGGCGTTACGTCAAGAGGTGCGCGCGGCAACGTGCGTGACAGATATAGCCGCCGAGCGCCGGCGCGTCCGCGACCAGCTGCGGCAAGAGCCAGTCCTCACCTGCAGAGATGAAGCTGAAGCACTGCGGGCGATGCTCTGGCACGGGAGCAACCAGCCAATGCGGTTGCCGAACGAATATTATCATCGCTGCTGCTCGGAGTGGCTCAGTATGGCCACCTGGCGCGAGCCGTTTTACAAAGGTGATATCTCGCGTCGTTCTACCGATGCGGTTACCACGTGCGACGCGTTCGACGGATGGGCATGCCTCAGCGATTTGCTGGGCGACTTCCATCAACAGATTCTGAAACTTATCATCGTAAATACCTGGGCGTCGTCAAGAAGTGCCTCGGGGGCAGGCATTGGGGATGCCAGGCGCTAGTCGTGCTGAAAAAGAGTGAGATGGTCGACCGCCACGCTGGTATGCAAAAGATCCGACATCCGGTGAAGAAGATAATTACGCGGGGAAGCCCGCCCGCGCTATTATCTCCGGCCCAGCAATGGGCGCATCAGTCCAGGCATTTTGTGCCCAGAATCATTGAGCTCTCGAGTGACAGGCCCGACAGGGGCGGGAACGCCCCGCTATTTCATGTGCGGGACTAAATTGGCGCACGCCCCGAGCATGTTGAATGTCGGTCTGTCGCGCCGAATCCAAGACAAGCCGAAGGGGGGCTCAGGCAGAC